AACTATGCAGCAGGAGATAATTTGACACCCTGCCTCTGCACTAAAGCCCCCCCTGTGTTCAACAGTTGTACAGTGAGAAACATTTATACTGACGAGTTTAAGCCTTGGCTGTACACTAAAACTGCATCCCCATGGTACATCTGTCAGTACCAACTTGTGTGTAGGTCTACAGCTASTCAGAAACACAAAACACCTCAGTTTACCGTTTTTCTTTGAGAGTTTGCAATTAAAGTATAGTTCTGGCCCTGTCTTTGCTACGCCTTTTTTTTAGGCTTTTCTGTTTATGGTGATAAACACCTTGTTTTCCATCCAGGTGCAGAATCAAGGAAAAAAGAAAATAAAATTAATCCTGTTTGTGACGCCAACTTGTTGCAGCAAAAACAGGAAGTGAGACTGGAAAAAAATAACGGTAGTTTTGTGAATTTTATTAGTGAGCCAATCACCTCATGAGGTGAGACAGTAGCTACGTTTACACAGACATAATTAATCGGATTAAACGGCCGTTGGGAATAAAAATGTGCCATGCAAACAGCTCGTTTGGATTATRCTGATCCGATTGAGCTCGATCCGAATGAATTTTTAATCCGAATGAGAGGGGTGGGTTATGCCGATTGATAATCGGAATAACGTGCATGTAAACACTTAATCTGATCATTTTATTCTGACTGTGGAAAACTGACTTGAGTGCGCAGGTCTGCTGACTTTCATCCACCCGGTTCTGCTCTTTAGAGGAGGTGGGACAGCAGTGCTCCAGCTGCGCTGCGCTGCGCTGCGCAGAACTTTTCCTCCACGCTCTCTTAACAGATGAAAAAGGAGACAAACAGCAGACTTTGCTTCGCAAAAAATAAAAGTAAAAAACACGAATTGCTTCATCTGCAGCTCAACCTGGGAGTAACGACGTCTCTACCGTTATTAAAAGCTGACACGGGTCCGTCCTGAGCGCACAGAGGAGCTTTGTTTACATTTGTAACACAGAAGTAGAGCTGACAGTTTACTTTTATTCTGAATAAAAGTCCTGTGCATGTAAACACTTGTCATGATCGGATRGTGTCCATGTAAACAGTACATTCGGATTATTTAATCCGAATACATTTCAGTCCMATCAAAAAATTTTGTGCATGTAAACATAGCTAGGCAGAGCCTGGTAACATGTCTGAGATAGTTCATCAATCCAGTTATGTCATCCATGGTTAGATTTATGGCTGGTTTATGGGACCAAAGGTTGGACTTACCTTCAGTCTTACAGTGTGTGCTAAAGACACATCAACCAATATTTTATTTATCATTCACAGATTTGTTAGTGACAACAATTGCACATTCATTAGTTACAAATTATTGGTTAGGGTTGCTGATGTGATGTTCCTGAGAATCATTGAAGATATTTATATTTGATTTAGCAAGTCTAAAAGTGTTTTTTTTTCCCAAACCTGAGGTAATATTAGGGAGGGTTCTCTGAAAAAATAAAMAAAMAAAGGAGGGKTCTCTGATTCTGACAACTATTTCAGATCCACTGGTCTCTGTGTGGATCTGAAATAATGAACAAAAAAAAGACAAATTCCAAGGCATATTTAGAGTATGACTTAGGTTGCAATCATTTTGCTTCTTTTGAAATCAAAGCGACAAGACTACCAASAAGTCCGAACTGCATTACTGTATTTTAGATTATATCACTGTTATCAAGCATTTATAAAAGGTCTGTCATCTGTAAAAACCATGGTATGTTTCTTTTATTAAAAAGCCATTTTTGTCTCAATCAGATGATGTGATTTCCAGCATGAAATGTGAATTTAATAGGTTTATTGAGATGAATACAGAGATATTCACAGTGTCACTCACTGTGAATAGCAATTTTCTAGCTTTAAAATAAGTGTTCKTTTTKTATTTTCGTGTAAGTGCTYGTTTTAAAAACTGACACATGCATACTGAATAGTATATATGAAAGGCAGAGTCAGTAAAACTTTAAAGAGTAGCATAATTTGTTCTGTTTCAACGTATGTGTTTGTGTAGATTTATTTGTCCATATCCTAGCCCCTGTAGTTATGAGTTTTGTTACCACAGAGAAGTAAATTACTGCAAGCAACAGAGCACTCAAGGATTACCTTCTTGTAGGATTAGTATTCTCTACCTGTGTAAGGGTTTGCGTGTGCTTGTTGTGTTTGTATGTGTGGTTTTAATTGTGTGCTTTTGTCAGCACACGTACTGTGTGTGAGAGTTAGATAACGGAAAAAGAAAGTCTGACATTGACTCGAAAGCTGCTTTGTCCATGCATAATTCACCTCTGTCTACAAACTTGAAGATTTTTCGGTTGTTAAACGGCAGCTAAAACAAACTACACACGGTCTCAATCAAASTATTTATTTTTCAAGAGTCAGAAGTTGTTAGTGGTTCTTTGGTTTTACTTCAAACKAGACTAATGATTGTACTTTACTTTTCTCAGTTCAGTTGTGGTTGATTTTTTCAGTTTGGTGGTTTTAGCCATAATTTATGAATTATTGATTRTAATAAAATAAACGTTTGTTTTGTCTTTTTTTAATTATCAGAAACAAACCTAATTCTGCTTTAATAAAAGCAGCTTTAATGCTTYGTAATTCATGTCACTGGTTGACATTTTACCTTTGTGATGCTTTTATCTGACATTAGTCGAAAAAGAAACACCTGCCACAAAGTATTGTTATAACTTCTACCATTCTTCCTCTCTTATTTGACCCTTTGCTCATCATCTTAAAAGGTAAAACAAAAAAAATTCTAAACACCAACTTTTGGACTTTGTTAAATGCTTCATGCTCAGTTTTTTTATGAAACCTGCTTTTTTCCAATAGACAAATTCTAAATTGGAACTATATTAAAACTGTACGTCTTTACAATTGAATATATTACTGAATAGTTAGAACAGTGTTGCTTTTTGTGTCCAGCAATTTTAGTAGAAGTGGTAAAAATAGTAATTTATTTAGTTCTTTGAAATTATGTGAATCATTTTACTGTATCACTATGTAAGCTAAACATAAAAAACAAAATAAAACTTTCTTAGACTTTTGGATTTTGTGGACTATATTAAACTGGCACAGCTGAGTTTATTTGAATAAAAGTTACCACCTGCCGCCAAAAGGCAGGTGATAATGTTTGTCATGTTAGGATAATATCTTGTGAATCACAAGACAGATTTAAATGTAGTTCTCAAAACGTAATCAAGAGACTTACATCTAGGGCTGCCAGAAACGATTATTTTTATAATCGATTAATCACCGATTATTTTTTCGATTAGTCGACTAATCAGATC